CGGGCTGGGGCAGGGCGGGCGGCTGCTGGCCTGAGCTGGGGGAGGGGAACGAGAAAAAAAAACAAACAGATCCCCCCGCCGCTGCTTTTCCCTTCCGTGGCAGTACCGAGCTCGATGAATAAATACCGAGTTTCTAACGGGGAAGAAGAGTCTTACCGAGCCGCCGTGATCCAGTTACCGCCTGAACGGCGGCGAAGGACTCGTTGCGGACCAACACGTGTAAGTCACCAGGAAGGAGAACCCACCAGTTTCCACTCACAGGTGCATCTCGACCGGTTTTCTGGCAGTGTTGCGTTTCAAACAAACCGGGAAATTAAACTGCCGAGGCTCTGTCCAGCCTCTGGGCCACTCCGTATGTTCCCGTACGGAGGGAGGACAGCCCGGTCCCCAGGCACCATCCATCTCCTCCAGCCGGACACGCAGGTACAGTATTCTTACCTCAACAGATGAAGGCGGCTGTTCTTGCCGATGTGGAAGTACACTCTAAAGCGGTTTTGATGGAAAATGCCATGTAAAAAAAACTCATAACTTAATCTGCTGCTGCCCAAATCCTGAGGTTTCCTTCCATCCTTCAGATTGTGTGCCCAGGATCACTCCAAATCACTTAGGGTCATTTACCTTCCTGCAAAGATGACTACAAGTACACCTACTAACTACTAATTTAGTAAGTCAGACCAGTATTCTTGTGCAAAACTTTTTATTAAAAAGAGAAAGGGTTCTCTGCAGCAAAATGTAGATAAAACACTAATCATGAAATTTAACTTTTCAAAGATTGCAACAGACCCGATTTGAAATTTTGATTGTGACAAAGACTGTGTCTCAAGTTTAGAAAGTCTTATTCTCACACCTTAAAACATAGCCAACACATCTATCAATTATGATCTTAACTATAAACCAAACCACTTTTCTGTTGAGTTACCAGCACATTATCAAGTTTTAACGTGCAGCATCCATGATGAAGCTGTAAATAATCCAAAATACTATTACTAAAATGCTAAGATTCCTACAGAACCTTTCACATTTCGCAGTTTTAGCAGTTTTCCTTTCCAATTCTCATGAACTAACATAAAAAGTTATGTTTCCCAAAATATATAAAAAACCGCAGCTTTAAAAAACCCATCTCTCTCAGGTGACATAAAAAGAATTTCAAAGAATCCCATAGTTTGGCCTTAGAATTAATACTTGAAAAATATCTTTATAGGGCAAAAAAAATAAATTGGGGGTTTACCTTCACTTTGTATGCATGCGTGTATTATGGACATCAGTTTACAGCAAATACCTTGCCCTAGTGACTACCTTCCTGCTTACCAAAACCAAACAGGCACCAGGGAAGAAATGAGAGCGAGCTTCCATGTAAGCTTGTTCGGTTACCCGCCCTGCAGCATCAATAATGAGTGAGAGCTGTCAGAATCTGAAGTACCTTACATTTCTTCTGCAGTACCAGCAGCAAGCTGTAGTCCTCTCCCCCACACGCTGATAACAGACTAATGAGTCATTAAGAATGAATCTGAGATTTCCCAGTAGTTCAAGGTGATCAGTCCTTCTAAGGGATACTAGAGTGGTTTTCATGCAAAAAGTTGTCTGTTCACGTAAATAGCCTCTGCATCAGTACCATATACTAGGCATGGTCCTAAAATATCTAAACTATTCACAGATAAAGTCTGATTTGGAATTAAGTTGGTGATTTCCATGCGGTCTTTGGTGGGATCGTTGCTGAGCCAGGCACTTACTACAGACTGGTTAATGGTGTTGTGGGAAAAATAGGTAGTGCTTCTTCCTCCTGAAAGAAGGGAAGGGAAAAGAGGGAAATAAGTTCCAATTTAGTTTATACATTCTCTGAATTTGGAGAAACATAGTGGGTTTGGGACAGACATAATGGGAATATCATTTCACATTTAAGTCAGTTTTCAGATGTTGTTGTCTCTCTGGTAAATGAAGGAAAAAATAGCTAAAAAAAAAAAAAATAGTAATAATCAAGTACTTTAAGTGATTATAGAAACCTGCTACCAGCTCTGTTCTCAGCTGCATTTCAAACAAATTGGGAAGCGAAATTTAAGAGGCTCATCAGAGCCTCTTAAATATACAGGTCAGTACAGCTATGAAATCATCTCGCTGAACAGTGTAACTATCTACAGGTTTTTCTAGGCAGACACTAAAGCAAGGACAGACCTAAGAACAAAAGTCTGTTTAAACAGTGTCTCGCCATATTTGGGGCATCAGCTTTGCTTTAACAACACTTGTTCCTAACTCTCCCATCTCCCTACTTACTCTGCAGCAAGTGATATACCTGGATTTTTTTTCCCCATATAATATTTTACGTTCACACTGAAGTCTCACACTTTGAGAACTATCATTCAGCATAAAATTAAACAAATGGCTGAAGTAGTGCTAAAGGTTTTATATTCAATATACCAGAAAACATGCAGAGTGCAACTTGAATCAGTTATCCTGTTGTTTCCCTGTATAGAACTGAGCTTTGAATGGCAGCTTTGAGGCCAAAGGCAGCAGGTGACATTTGAAAGCATCCCCACTATTTACAGTCTGAAGTGGTAAGTGGTGACTTTGAAGTGAACACAATGTATCTTTGAAATACTAGATGTGCCCCTTCACACACTGGACAGAGTACAGCATATTAAAAAAAAAAAAAAAAACAAACCACAAAACAGACCACAAAAAAACTCACACAACTGTTAACCTTGTAAGTAATTTTCCTGAAGTGCCTATCAGGGCTTTCTAAGCTAGGAAACCAGCTTTTAATTTTCTTATTAGAATTGTTATTAATTGGGTCATGTGAGAACATTGACTTTAATTATGTTGCCAACTGACAAATTCAGTGCAGACTGACTTTGAACATCCTTACCTTGATGAAGAAAAGACGGTTTCTCAGATATGTCTGTGGAAGTATCCCAGTGCCAAAGAGATCCATCTTCAGAACAGGTGAATAAGTGATCGGGGTTGGAGGGATGGAAGTGAACTTCCCACACTGGAAGTATCAAACCAAAGCCAAATAAAACCACTTCAGAACAAGTATCAAGTACTTTGGTCAGTGCACTTTGGCTAGCATGATGTGGACATGCACCTACAAGAACCCAGGCCTCACCAAAACTTTCCGTTCTTAAGTGCATGTGGGTGGGAGACCCAAAACCCCACCCTTAAGTTATTTACTGCCGTTTTTCCTCCCCTGGGAGAGAAAAGAGAGACTTTATTTTGTTGCATTTTCAGTACTGTGAAAATGTTAAGGGTTAAAATCTTATCTGAGTTTAGGCATTCTGAATACTTTTTCAGGCCATCTTCCGTACTATTAAGTTTAAATCTGCATGCAGCATGCGTTCCTTCCCAGCACACGCATTATTATTTTGTATCTAAATACCACAACTGTGGAAAAGATACCTAAGTCAGTAAAACTTAACATCTCAAGAAATATTTTTACCCCTTAAACATAATCGTGGCATCAAGTCAAGAAATTTTCAGTACAAAATGAATTGCCATCTTGTTCATATAAAAGTTATCAGGGAAGTGAGCTGTTTCAGCATTGTGGAGGCACCATATGGATCTGTACTATCTTCAGCTTCCCCTCCTTCCTTATGTTTGCAAGTTTGGTAGCAACTGCATTCTTACTTTACTATACCTGCATACCATAGCATCAATTTCTATGACTATATATACATACCCTTCTAGAAACATAGTCATTCTGATTAAATACATCTAATGACTCATTAAAGAATTGCTTCCTGAGTTGAGTTTTAGTTTAGAGTTAGCTTTTAGATAAGAACAGTCTCATGTACAGAGAAGGAACAAACTGAAGCCAACTGGATGAAAACACTTTTTTCTTTTTTTTTTCTTTTACAAAAATTAGAAGCTTCTCTGAAACGCCACCTTTTTCTCCTCCTCCCCCCCCATTTCAGATACTTACTTTCTGCTTCATGAGCATTCAGCAGGGACACTGGTATAGTACCCTGCCTGATGTCCCATATACTCAGCATCCCATCCTGGCCCCCCGTGGCCACAATATGCTGCTGATTGGGATGCCTGTCCACACAGTGCAGTGGAACTCGGTCACCTGTCCTGCAAAGGAGAAGAAAAAAAAACATCCCAAACACAAATTCTTTATTCAATTTCTATTTTCTCCTCCTTAATCCATAGGAGTGTTGACAAACAAGGTAACAGTATCCACTGCAGCTTCAATTCCTGTAGCATCTGGTCACTACAGGCTGAAGCCGCATGACATCTACTGGAAATTAGAGGTATGGCAGTAACATGAAGCTGCAATTGGGTGAGCATCGGGTTCTGTGCCCTATGATATACAAGCATCTACATGGTATCTGACAGCTTTACAGGAGTGAGATAACGTTGCATACAGATAATACTCTAAGTATACCTGCAATAATAAGATGGTTACTCAGAAATTCGGGTTATAATTACAGTTTCAACATTTACTAAGAGTTACAAAGGGAGACTGGGCACTAACAAAACGAGGTACCTCAACCACAGCCTATTAACCGCAATGGGAATTATTCCACAGACAAGAGGATTTGAACGTAGCTCAGCTTGTTTTCTCACAATACCATATAAGGCATAAAATTATCCTTCAAATGCCAGAAACTTTGTATTAGTTCTGGGTTGAGGGTTGGTTTTTGGTTGAGGTTTGCTTTTTTGTTAAAAAAAGAGCAAGCATACAGGTGCAAAAGCCCTTCAAGAGTTAAATCATAAAACAAATCACCTAATAGAATGCTCAGCCACAACAGTAATTCAGCCATTAAGCAGAGTCTCCTTTTGATTATTTAAACACCACAGAAGTTAAAAACTGTCTAAAACAAATCAATCATTTATCATCCCATTGTCAAGAAGGTATCAGGAAAGATTTAAATCAGATTATATAAAGCAGCACATACTTCTCAGTAAATATGTAATAAAAAGGTCTTACAAAGAAAATATTTGAGATGGCTCATTTCTTTGCTGTCTGAAATCCCATATTTTTAACTGTCCAATTGAATTTACTGTCAAGATCTCAGTTGTGCGAAGGAAAGTCACTGCATGGAGTGTACTGCTGTCTGCATTGTCTGCAAGAGAGATGAGGAAAGCATTCAGACGCACCTACAGAATGCTAGTCTATTTATTTACAACAAAGTATCTCTTTTTAGAAAACAGAACACAGCTGTTTAAACATGGTTATAACCTCTCTGCCTTTCTAGGGGCAGAGACAGACCAGTGAAATGTGAAATTTCAAGTGTTGCAAGGGTGCCCTGTGAAAAAGGAGCCCTTGCTTCCTATATCAAACACTACTGAGACAAATCTGTAAGAAGCTATATTTAATTAGCTCCAGTGCTTATAGAACTGTTGATCCATAAGATTTCTTTCTATAATTCCTAAGAAGAGGAATTAATTTAGCCAGGTCCATGGTTTTCATAAAAGTTTTATGTGCTCTGCATCTACTGACACAAGGCAAGCTATAGAGCTTTTCATAATGCAGCTCTTTTGAACACAAGAAATAGTAACTCTGGGTGAGGACACTAAGCCGTTGTATACAGAAGCACTTAATTCACCAACTTTCTGTAGACCTTTTCCAAGAACTGTCAATGTGATATCCATCCCATCCCTAAAGTCAAACCAGAATTATGCTTTCCTTGTTGATCTTAATAACTAAATGGCAAAGCTCCTTTTCAGGTTCTTTTCTCCAGCACTTCTTTTGGTCACAATAATTTACAATGTCAAACACTTCACAGCATTGAGGTGAAACTTTTGAGTCTTTAAGGGAGAATAACATACACACCATACTCTCGTATTTTGATTCTGTTACTATATATATACTTTTCATCTTTATTATGATGCGGTAACATCGTTAAGTCTACTTTCATCTCAAGTGTTTTAAAATTCTTCGTGTAAGTCCATACTGAAAATACAAGTGAAGCTTTTTCTGCATAAGATGCAAACCTTTTCTGATATTGAGACAGACAAGCTACGTTGATGCCTGATTACAGATATGTGAATGAGTTTTCTTTTTTGCCTACGATTTAAATGAAAGCTGAGGGGGAAAAAAAAACACACACCACAAAAGCACCGTTGAAAAGAAATGTTAGATTACTGAATACTGAAGTTCTAAATGACTTAAAATTTTGTGACAGAATAACAGTAAGTGATTTAGCAATGATACATCTTTTGGCTCCAGAGGATTTTTACATCATCTCTAACTTTGGAGATTTTTTCCTATCACAATTGACTACAAAAATATCAACTTTGTATTCTACTCTTAAATCAAACAGTAACAAAGATAGCAAGGTAGTCCTTTACAAATATTTCATGAGGTACAAGAGTTCTATTTTCACATTAAAACACATTGAGGTTTCAGCTCAGCACCTGGGAAATGTCAAGTTGTCATTGAATTGGAAACCAGTACAAAGGATTGCTTACAGCATAGAACTCCATACTGACGAAATTGAAAGCATCTTCCAAGATGTTCTCTCCCCTCTTTCCAACTTTACTGTAAAATAATCTCTAGTTGATGAGTTCGTACTAGTCCCTTCCACATAACTCCAGGCAAGCTTCACTTATGAGGTCATAGGTATGATTGACTTATTTATGGACCATTCCTATTTTAACACTTCCATTCCCATTTCCAAAAGGAAATTTCTCCATTAATTCTTATGTGATTTCTTAAGTGCTTATGCGCCAGGAAATCTCAATGCAGTCTTACTGCAGTGTAACACTGGCTGATGCTACCACTACAAAGCAAGGATTTTTATGTAGTTAGTTTTCTTAGCACTCCCTTGATAGTACAACTTGCTTATAAACAGATTTAATAACATGCAGGATGCATCTGAGCAATTGCCCAGAGAAAAATACAGATTTTTTTGTGGACATCTGCTTCCTGTGAGTCAGCAAAACTTTCTACTTTATTAAACTTATATACAGATATTAACACAGAGTGTCCTGGTACAAGTAAAAATTTTTAAATAATCCTTTTCAACTAGTTAATGTTCTCAGCCCTCAAAGAGGAAATGACTGCGTTTTGTGGGCACGTGCAAATAAAGCTACCCTCCCCCCCCCCCCTTTTTTTTTTTTAAAGCACAGAAAGCTTTCCTGCCTGAATTCTCAAGGAGCTTCAGTAAAGAACTGTATGCAATTAATAGGATTTATCTTGTGTGTGTATATACAGCTATGCACACGTAAGTACCCCCCTCCAGAAATCCCAGAGCACTTCCTTCCTTAATTGGCTTATCAGTGCAAATTCCTTCATCTGTTAGAGGCAAGATTTTGCTTGAGGGGAAATACAGGTGCTGTGTCAAAATGAAGCTTCAAGGAGGAGGTCCCAGCTTAATAATGCCACTATTAAACATGGTGTTACTGTCCTTTAAATTATTTCTGCATTTAAGTTTCATTTCCAACAGATGCTACAAACTCATATTCTATTTCCATGAGACTAACATGATAGTTGAGAATAACCAAGTTTTAACACCTTTCACAAACATCTTACTCTATCACATGATCTATTAATCTAGGAAATATGGAGCTTTTTCTCTAAGAGAGAAGTGATCACTGTAAGCCATGATATCTGGCAGAAGAACAGGGTACAAACAGGTTTCTGGTTCTTGGTGTTCCTTTAGACACAGAGAAATAGATGTTTCTGAATATGAACACCCTGAGGGTTAATCTTAGTACAAATAGCGAATTGAAACGACCCTTTCCCTGACCTCCAGTTATGACGAACTTGGGACACAAATCTTCTTGAAATCTAACCTTATTTCATGCATACTGCTATAGCATTTAACGATTCTAGATGAAACAGAAGCCTACAGAGAACGTTAGGCTTGAAACTTCATCAGTTAAAACATTAACTTGCAAACATCTGAATGAATATAGAAACATATCTGAAATACACTTCAAGTCTCTATTCCTGTATTTCTCCAGACTTCAATCTGGAGCAAACACATTCAACTCTGAGTACTTAATTCAATTCTCTACTGACTTCCTACTTTTTTTTTTGTTTCTTATTATTTGAGAAGCTAAAACCCAAACAAACTAAAATAATTTGAACAGTTACTTGACATACCTATAGTTCTGACTGCATCCTTTTGGTCAGCTCTGAAAAGATTTATTCTACCATCTTCTCCAACAGAGACAATTTCTGGGTTGTTGCAGATAACTCCAGTACATGCTGCTCCACCACAAGATGTGTCTTGATCCACATGATAATGGGCTTTCTCCCACCGCTGGTTGGCAGATAAAGTCTAAATAGTAATTAGACATTAAATTCTGCTGTTAAATAATGATCCTGATAGACCAAAGCTTCTGGAATACTCATGAAACCAGAATTAAGCTCCAAGAAAGGCATGCTACCTCACAGGAACTGGAAACTCCTATACAAATAAGAACCAGAGATCTAAATTTTCCACAACTCTTAAGCACACAACCCTTCAATGAAACATTGATTATTTCTTCTCTGAACCACCTTTTTCACGTGAGCTAAAAATCAGAATGAACACAAGCTATTTACAAACTGTGAAATGTCTTTCCCCAGGACAACGGAAAAGAGCTGAGGCCTTTACGAAATACAAGTTCAAATTCAGATTTTGACTGCAAGCAATTTAGTTTATTTTATGTACCATATGAAACTATTAACAGATATTAGTCTTTACTGTGTCATTGTGAATATATAAAAAAGTCGTTACACATTTATTATCAGTGATTTATAATCAAAGCAAAAGACTTCAGAGTTTACACATCTTCCCTCAAGTGACACTTGTGAGAAGAAACTTAACATGAGTCATTTAGTTCAAGAATTCAAAAACTCTAATAAGGAGGTACAAGTCCATTAATATGCACTCCCCCAAAACAATCTAAACTCTTAAAATATGCTTTCAGTGAATAGAATATTTAACCAAATATATACTATATATAGATAGATATATACTAGCGGATACCCCAGTCTATCTGGCTCTGGAATCTAATTCATGAAGTATGTGTGCAAAATACTTTTTTCTTTCCTCGTATGCATAAAGCAAATACTTTTTCTAACAGACTTCAAAAATTATTTTGCTATGCACACGTTTCTTGCTCTGGTAGTTTTGGGAAATCTTATGCTAAGATCAAAGCGACCTGTGTTACACAGAATAGCAGGTTAAAGCCAGTGCAAATTACTCACCTGGTTACTTTGATGATGACGGAATACAGTTACAGTTCCCGTTGATGAGGCAACCACGATTCTCTCCTGATCCAAAAACTAGAAAGATATCATAAGCATGCTATTAGTTGATGTCAATGCCATTTTGATTTTAGAGTAACCTAAAGTATTGATACATATAGTAAAAAAAAAAAAAAAACAAACAACACAACAAACACAAGAAACCCATGAACTGATACTGTTTGGTTTTGCCCTTTTCTTCATAACAATTTTTTGGTGAATTTCAGCATTTTGACAGCTTACCATCACTTAATTTCTCTTAATACCAATCTATTCAACACAGTTATTTTACCTGCATGTCCATAACGTCACCGTTGTGCCTGATGTCACACAGCAGCTGAGGTTCTCCTTGATATTCACCATTGAGGCCCCCATTTCCAAGCTCTCCAACAGACCAAATGGAGACCCTGTTATCCTGCACGGAAATGACATCACCAGTTTTACTCAAAAATGCTTTTTTTTACTCGAAGTGCACGGCTTTCTCGCTACAGCCGGGGAAAGCAACAGGCTGCAGGCCGCGCACCGCCCCGGGGGAAGCCGCCGCCGGGCGGGAGAACC